ACCAGACCTGTGCATTTTATGGCCTGTGGCTCACATCTCGCCCGAGGGCTGTCCTTGTCCAGCCTGCAGCAGCATCAGTGTGTGTAAGGGGGGTTGTCTCCAAAACAGTCCCCTTTCATATGTGGCCTATTAAGAAAATTAATTGACCATCCCTGTTCTAAACAAATGTTGTCTTATCAAATACCCAAAGACTGTTTTTTTTGCTTCAGCACTATTGATTTGTTACACCAGTTGTCTAAGATTGCAGTCCTGGCCATGTTTCCAAAGAATAAGTTCTGCCAGGCAATGGATGAACTTATTTCCAAGAAAAACTTAAAATATCTGTTTAAAATAAAATATACAAAGACTCCCTCTTTTATAAGCACTATTGAGAATAATTTTGATATGTAAGTAGCCTACAAATATAGACAGCAGAACATACCTGACCTTGACTATCTTGAAAAACTAAGCAGGGTCAGACTAGGAAACCACCAGGAAATTCCAAGAATGTGAGGTAGAACAGGAAGTAAAAAAACTCATCCTGGAAAGTAGTGGCAAACAACTTCTGTATCTTGCCAAGAAAACAATTTGATATGCCCCAGTAAAGGGCAGGACCATCAATTTGACCCAAATGTTTTTTTTTTATCTTTTTTGAATACAAAAAACAAAAACCACATATTTTGTTGAGGAAGTAGACAGAAGCTATATTTCTCTTTAATTTCATAGCAGACTGTGAGCAGACTTCATTCTCAGCCTTGGCTGTCTCTCTTTCTAGAAAAGAAGGCTATTCTAACTTCTAAGAAGATTCTGAAGGAAACATGAACAAAATAGGCTCCTTCTGGCTAAATAAAACTTGAACACAATAGTGTTTCCTTGTCACTTCTAGGTTCCAGTCTGAGCTTGATCAGATTGGGCCTTGGACTATGCCCGTCATCTCTGAATGATCATATACTCCTAAAGGCATATATTCTGAACCAGAAACCCTTGTCTTGGCTTTTTCCCATGGCTCAAAGTGCTCTCTTCCTGTCCTGGAGAAAACTATGCTGGAATTCAATTCACTCTACCCATTGGCGATCCCTATCTGGCTTCTATAGCGTCTGCTCTGGCTTGCCATTACATGATGCCATCCTGATTTGAGCTGTGCCATATGCACTAAACCAGGGGTAGGCAACCTTGGCTCTTTTATGACTCGTGGACTTCAACTCCCAGAATTCCTGAGTCAGCATGGCTCAGCCTGGAAACCTCTCCTTTTCCCCTCAGCATGGCTGGCTCAGGAATTCTGGGAGTTGAAGTCCACGAGTCATAAAAGAGCCAAGGTTGCCTACCCCTGCACTAAACCAATGCATTGGTTCAATAGATTGACTTTTCCTAGGAGAGCCTGATCTGAAATAGTTGGACTTTTAGCTTCACAAAGAAGACTGGGACCGTTAAAAGGGAACGGCCAGAGACTGCCAGGACAGCCTCTGCTCACACTAGCCTGAAATGCCAAGAGATGTCAGGTTGATCCCATCCTGTTTCATTGCTGGCAAGTATGTGCAGGCCTTGAGACTGACACAGGTTGCTATCAGCTTAAGAGAGGAAACACCACTGCAATAGCAGAATGGTTAAGGGTAGTGATAGGATGAGGGCAACATCACAGGGACCCCCCCAGGAAAAGGTTTTCTTGCCCTTTAATTCAAGTGGAGAAAGACCCCTCCCTTAGAGAGGGTTGCCAGGCACCCATGTTTTCTGATACAAGGCAAAAATATTTTCTATATTTTTTATATCTGCTCCAATATAATGTAAACTCTGTTTTAGCTTTATTGATTTAATCTGCTTTTTTTTTACAAGGGAGGGCTGAGGAATTCCAAAAGCCAGTCAATTAGTTTATTATTTTACGGATATTCCAAAAGCGACCCTGAAAAAACAACATTTCTAAAATTTGCTGGACTTAAATGAATTGGTGCCTGGAATTCTTCTCCTCTCTTTCCTGGCACTTGGGATTTCTCTCTCTTTCCTTGGTTCCCTGTGGTGCCTGCTGTCCTCTTTTTTTCTTGTATTTTAATTTGCATTTTTATTTTATTGTGAAACATTTAACCTACTTCATTTTATCAGAATTTTGTTATTGGCTGGCCTATATATATAAATAACTCTGTCTCTGAACAAGCCTTGGCACATGTAAGCCAAACAGCTGCATATTCTTCTCATGTTTATTCCTGCCTCCCGTTCTTTCTGCATGTTGAAGTTCAGATTCCAAGTTTCTTGGAACCCGGGGTTTATCTTCCTACAAACCAGGGTGAATAATAATTGATGATTTTTTTAAAATAAATAAATCGGATTTTTTTTTTATTTAAATCAGATTTGATTTTTATCAAATTTATTTTAACAAAATTCTTTTGGAGTAAAAATCTATCTAAATATAGTTTTCTATTTAAGATACATTAATAATTTAGTTTATTCAGCATGAAATGGAGCTTAGTTATGTAGCATGAGGCTGTATATTCTGCAATATTTACATTTTTTGTAAACTCATTCAATGAATCCAAGTCCTGCAAGCTGAGATAACATGCACTGCATTGATGCATTCACACAATTTCACAGTGACCATGAGATAAATCATAAAACAAAGTTCAGGAATGTTCCTTTATCCCATTGTTTTGCAAATCTATGTACACTACAAACTGTCTGATTGTTTGAAGAGAAATGCATCTGTACCAGGCTCCCTTGAGGAGCACTCGGAGGCTCCAGTTAGTCCAGAATGCGGTCGCGCGGGCGGTGATGGGAGTGACTCGTCGCTCCCATGTAACGCCGCTGCTGCGCGAGCTGCACTGGCTGCCTGTGGCCTTCCGAGTGCGCTTCAAGGTGTTGATTATCACCTTTAAAGTGCGCCATGGCATCGGACCTGGTTACCTCCGAGACCGCCTTCTGCCGCAGATTACCCCCCACCGGCCGATACGCTCTCACAGAGAGGGCCTCCTCAGGGTGCCGCCAACCAGACAGTGCCGGTTGGCGACCCCCAGGGGGAGAGCCTTCTCTGTCAGAGCGCCCACCCTCTGGAACGAGCTGCCCCCAGAGATCCGGGTGATTCCGGATCTCCCCTCCTTCCGCCGCGA